GCGAAGCCAGGGGCGGGGACGGAGGGGAGAATACTGATCCTCCCTTCCTCCACCGATGGAGGGACGGAGTAAACTCCACCTGTGGGCAGACATTCCTGAGCTCTGAACCACCCACCAGCACCTGCCAAGTGCCCTAAGGCCCGCCCCTCCCCATTCCTTAATCCCTAGGTCCCTAATCCTAGGCTTCCATGGAACCACCCATCAGCGTGTGCTGAGTGCCCTAAGCCCCGTCCCCTCTCTTTCCTCTTCTTAAAGGTGCTCATACCCGGGCCCTCACTCTCTTCCGATCTCTCTCTCTCTGTGGAAGCAGCTGGCAGTGGTACTCTTCTCTTCAATAAAGCCTGTGTTTCGGGCCTTCCCTATTTCATCTTTCAAATGCTACATCAGAATGAGAGGACGGCAGAGCATGTCGGAACCCTGTTGCTGGATCCACGTGCTTGAGCTAAACCCGGAGTCCTGGCGTGTCCTGGCTGTGTGGGCTTGGGCGGTCCCCTGCCCTCTCTGTGCGCAGGATGCTCCGAGGGGAAAAGATAGCACCTGAAGGCAGGGGGGTGGGGGGGGGGGGAAGGGGGTAGGACAGATGAGCTCATTACCGCACACGGCAGAGCCTGGTGGGGCTTCCTGTTATTCACCTGGGGAGGCAGCTTGAGGCCGCACACAAGCCAGGAAGAGTGCTAAGCGGTGCTGCACAAACCCACGGGTGTCAAGGAAATCGGGGTAGAAGCAAGGGCACGGCTGGTGAAGGGACCCGTTCAGGGCCTGTAGGAGGCATATCCCGGGTGCGAGGAGGTGCCCAGTCAGGAAAGCCCCGCCTGGGGCAGGAGGTCAGGCCGCATGCGGCTCTTTGGCCCCTTGAGGGTGGCTCTTCCACAAAAATACCGCAGCCTGGGCCAGTCTATGTTGGAGAAGTGGCGTTAGAAGAAGTTGAAGTTTTAAAAATGTGGCTCTCCAAAGACATGTCAATCGTTGTCCTGTTGGTAGTTGGCTCTGTGGACGGATGAGTTTGCCGACCACTGCCCTAGGTGAGCCAACAATGCCACATGAGGGAGAGACTATTCTTATGCCCATTTGACAGATGGGCAAACTGAGGTTCAGTAGTATGAAGTTACCCATTTGGCCAGTGGCAGAGCTTGGGGTCAACTCCAGTTGGTCGGTTTCATCCACATGCTTTTTACCCCCTGCTCCACGGCCTGCCCTGCCTCTGGGCTCCTCTGGGCCTCAATGACCCCGCTCCCCCTCCTATGAAGCAGGAAGAATTGTCCGTCAGACATAGTGGCTGCACCAGCGCCAGCCCATGTGGACGGAAGTCTGGGTACACGAGAAGCGCCACGTGACCCCTTCGCTCGCTGCTTGTCTTCCCAGCCCGAAAGCCAGCCCCCAAGGGGTAGGGCCAGCCTGTAGGCCCAGCATCCTGGGGCTGTTTGCAGTACAAAGAGCAGAAGATGGGCTTTGAGCTCAGACAGGCCTGGGTTCGAGTCCCACCTCCCCCGGACCTTGTTCGAGCCCCAAGCCTCAGTTTTCTCGTCTCTGAAATGGGGAGATGAACAGTCCCCACTACTCTCCACTGCAACCATTCCGAGCCCCGAAGGAGATAATGTGGCTTGGCTCTGGCACGTGGTGGGCGCCCAGACATAGCAGAGGACAGGGATGATTATTGATTAGCCTTCCTCGTTGTCCTGGGGGCTTAGCTGCATCACCCCAGCGAACAATAGGGGCTTTCTATGCCCTGCAGCCACCCCCACCACCAGTGTGGTCAGCATGGCCTCAGCCACACCCCCTTCCCGGGGCCCAGCTGGGAGCGGAAGCTGCAGGATGTGGGATGTGGCCGGCTGGGGGTTTTAGGCTTTTTTCAGCACCGGTGACTCAAACCCAAAGTATTTCTCCTCAAACAAAGATGCAGCAGGAATTCGGGTCTTCGGCGTGTGTCCTGGGGCTGCACCTGATGGGGACAGAGAAGAACGGGGGTCCAGGACCCCTGCTCTGCATCAGGACCCTCAGGGACTTTCTCATCACAGCAACAGCGAGCACTGCAACGCTCGCCACTCACATTCCCTCGGTATGACGTTCGCACTGCTCTGGGAGGCCAGGATTATTATTCTTCCCGTTTGACAAGGAAGGAAATGGAGGCTCAGAGAGGGAGAGGGACCTGCCCCAGGTCACACAGCTTAGCGCGTGGAGAACTGAACCCAGTCCGGCTCCAGAGCTGCTCTCCCAAGCAAATCTGTATGTACAAGCTCTGTTCCTTCACACATCGGCCTCAGGATTTTTCTTTCTTTCTTTTTCTTTTTTTTCTTTTTTTGCACTCTATACCACCTGCTTTGTTATTTACTTGATATATATTTTTTAAAAACAGATTTACTGTTTTGCGCTTAAACGCATTGATTTGTAACTAAGACTTTATAAGGCCACGGGAAGTGGAAGATCAGCATCCTATGCCATAGATAGAAAGCAGTTTTATAAATAAAGACAACTCAGAGAGGGCCAAGTATAGCATTCTCAGCAGACTCCACGGCCTGCGGGAGGCAGGGAACCTGCAATCCGCTCGTGGACAGGGTGGGGGGGACAAGTGTCAGAGGCGGCACCACAGTGAGATTTTTTTTTTAATCCCTGGGTTTTATCAAAGACCAAAAAGAGCATTATCTCCTTGTACCTGCTGCTTCAGTGTTATTCAGTCCCTGGGTCCAAATTCCACCTGCTGCCAACGCTACGGGCCTGGCTTTCTGGAAATGGGCACCAGGCTATATCGACTCCCGAATCGTCGGTTACCGTTGATTGATCTTATTAACCTTTCATCCAGGCGGGAAGGCTGGGGAAGAGTTGCCATGGTGATCTTCCTGGAGGAGGGGATGTGTGACGGGTGGGGGGGGGGGGTCTTGAAGGATGGAGCAGGAGCTTGCTTCATGGAGAAGGGGGAAGGGGAGGGGGAGGACACTCCAGGGAGAGCAAACAGCTGGGTCCGAGCTAATGATTAAAAAGACGCCTTTTCCTCAAATCAGGTGACCAGAAGCGATTGGCATAAGCTGTAAGGTCTGCCGTGTGAGGGGGGCACCTGGTACGGTTGGCGCTCAGCTTGCACAGCTGCGCTTGGCACCGGGGCAGCACCTCCAGCAAAGGCACGGAGGTTGGGGTGGAGCCAGGCGAAGCTTCCTGAAACAGGAAGCCAGCCGTAGGAGCTTGGTGGTGGTGCGTCTGTCTGTCCAGCGCTGCACGATGAAGTCCTGACTCCTTCCCACAGCCCACAAAGTCCTGCAGCGCCAACCCCAGCCGCCTCCAGCCCCTGCACACTCCCCTGACCTCCTCTCCCTCCTCCCCCCTCATCCTGACCACTCTTCCATTTTATGCAGAATCCCAAGAAGGGCTTTTGCCCCTGTGGGTCCCTGTGCCTGGCATACCCTTTCATCGAACCCTCATCTATGTTTCAGGCCTCGGTGTAACGACAACACAGTGTACACACCCCTGACCCTCCTCCCTCCCCCGGACCGGGTTCATAGCCCCTGTTCCCAGCTCCCCAGGGCTTATGGGAGGGCCCACTTCCCCCGCCTGGACACAGGGCCTCGAGTCCTCCTGCTGTAAGGTTGAGTAAAGCCAGAATGGCAAGGTCCCGAGGGAGGGTTTCGTCCTGCAGGTACAACATCTCGTGATGCTCATCTTATGGCGACTGTGGAATTCTCCTCCCGGGAACAGAGCTGGCCGCCGCGGATTGCACCTCCTGGGAACAGACCAGCCTTACCTGTCATTACGAGAGATGGCCAGATGACCACCCCGGAGATGCCGAAAAAAAGGGCGAAAGAGGACTTCCGCAAGGGAACGGGGAGGGGGGAGGCAAAGGGTGCTTGCTTGCGTAGCTGGGCTAGAGTATAAAACTGAGAAAGAAACTCAGTGCTGGGTCCGAGTTTGGAACGAGGGAGGGCCACCGCGCTTGGCTCCGTGGATAGAGCATCAGCCTGTGGACTGAAGGGTCCCGGGTTCGATTCCTGCCAAGGGCACATGCCTGGGTTGCGGGCTCGATCCCCAGTGGGGGGTTGTGCAGGAGGCAGCTGATCAATGATTCTCTCTCATCATTTATGTTTCTATCTCTTTCTCCCTCTCCTTTCCTCTCTGAAATCAATGAAGAAATATATTTAAATATATATTTAAGATATATATTTAAAATATATATTTAATATATATATTGTTCTGTCGACTGGAGACAGAAACAGCCAGCTCCATGAAGGCAGGGATTCCGTTGTGTGGGGTCCAGCACCTTCTGCACCGCAGGCACCATTTCATGCCCTGCTCCTTGTAGGACATCCGGCAGCATCCCAAGGCCTCTCTCCACCAGATGCCGGTATGACAAACCCCCTCCCAATAATGACAACCAAACAATGTCTCCCGACATTGCCATGTGTCCCCAGGGGATGAGGGGAGAAGGGCAAAATCGCCCCCTCCTTCAGAGCCACGGGTGCATTTGAACATGGATGAATATTCCCTCCCTCTTTTTCCTTGGTTTTGTACTAACAGGAGCGTTAATGCACCCTGCTCGGGGTCTGGTCCACTTTTTCTTTTTTACACCACTTCTTGGCGATCATTGCACTCGCTGCTTACAGACAGAAAGGGAACTTCTCTAAAATGGAGCTGCAAAATAAATAAAATAAAATAAAATAATAAAATAAAAATAAATAAATAAAATAAAAAAATATAAAATGAAATAAAAATAAAATAGCATAAAAATAAAATAAAATAAAACAAAACGGAGCTGCCTTGGGAGGGAAAGTGGTGAGCGCTGATTCTGGGGTAAACCAGCATCAGACCAGAGCTTCCGGTGTGTGTGTGTATGTGTGTGTGTGTGTGTGTGTGTGTGTGTGTGTGTGTGTGTGTGTGTGTGTGTGTGAGGGTGTGTGGGTGATGGGTGGGGGCATCAGCTCCCAGGGCCACGCCTCCCGACCGCATGGTCCGGGGGCGGGGCCGGGGAGCTATGGGCGTGGCCTCCGTTGTCCCGCCCCCGCGCAACGTCACGGCGCCGCGGCCCCGCCCCGCGGAGCCTCCCTCCCTCCCTGCCCGGCCGGGCGGCTGGCGAGCCGGGAGTCGCTCGCGGGTCGCGCGGGCCGTGTCGCGGCGCCTCCGCACGGTAGGTGGCCCCGGGGCGGCGCGGGGGCCTGGGCGGCCGCCCCCGGCGGGGGAGAGGGTCCGAGGTCGGCCCCGGGGAGCCTGCGTCCTCGCGGTTTCCTCCCGGGCCCGGCGACGCTGCCCGGGTTCCGGGGCTCCGAGCCGCGCGGGCGGGCGGGCGGGCGGGCGGTTGGAGGATCCCCACCCGCCGGGCGTTCCGAGCGCCTTCCCTTTCCCGCGCTCCCCGCTTCGGACTCTGCACCCGGGAGGTCTCCGCATGTGTGCGTGTGTGTGAGTGTGTGTGTGAGTGTGTGAGTGTGTGTGTGAGTGTGTGTATGTGTGTGAGTGTGAATGTGTTTGTGTGAGTGTGAATTTGTGTGTGAGTGTGTGAGTATGAGAGTGTGAGTATGTGTTTGTGTGTTTGAATTTGTGTGTGTGTGAATGTGTGTGTGTGAGTGTGTGTGAGAGTGTGTGTTGGGGAGATGTGGCGTGTCCCTGCCCCCCCCAAACCCCGACCCCTCCCTGGCGCGTGGGGACCCGCGGGGGCGCGTGGAAGTTTGCGCCGTGGAGTTACCGGGCGACCCAATAGTGGAGGCGCCAGGAGGCGGAAGTCGCAGGCTGGGGAGGGGTGTAGGGGAAACCCTCCTGAACTTGGGGTCCCACGGGAGGAGGGGCTGAAATTTAGCCCGGCAGCCTCCCCCTCTCAGTATGATGCCTCCTAAAGCTTGGGACTAGGAGTGGCAGCCAGAGCCAGGGGTCATGGGCGGCAGAGGCTGGGCACCCCTGACCTGGCAGTCATTTTTAAAACATTTGGGGAGGGGGGGGGGGGGTCCGTCAAAACATACTGATTGAGCATCTGCCACGTGCTGGCTCTCTTCAGTGCACTTGGGATACACAGCAGTGAAAAAGCAAGAAGACAAAGATGCCTGCCCCAGTGTCGTTTATAGCCTGACAGGTAGAAACATACAATACACATACCATGGCAGGTGGTGGGGTGAGGGGCGCCATTCAGCCAGCTGCAGGCACCAGGAAGCATGTCGTATGTTGCTTGAAAGCGTGTGCTTGGCCACGGGTGGGTCGCATCCCCCGTGAGCTGAGCTCCAGCCCCGTGCGTGTGCCAGTGTAGACACGTGGCTAAGGGATCCCCGTCCTGCCCCCACGTACCCCTCACAGCGGGCTCCCCTCCTCTAACCTTACCGGATCTGGAGATCAGCCCACCGGGGAATTAGATGTAAAGCCACATGGAGACCTAAGCCTGCTTAAAGAGCAACCGCTAAGCCCCACAGGCACCGTCCTGCGTGCCTCAGCTCGGAGGATGGAGGGGTGGCTGTGGACACGTGAACAAGGATGCGGTTTAGCTCTGCTTGGAGTGAGGAGAGCAGACTTGAGAGGCCCAGGGTGAAGTGTGCGGGTTAGAAAAATCACCGTTTCTCCGGTGCCCCAGCAGCTGAGGGTGCTGGGTGCTGCCGGTATTTTATCGGTACTTTATCGCCACAGCTCAGGTGTGTGCTAAAATAGGTAACACCGGGAGGGCGGGGACAGCCTGTCCGAGCTGGCCACGGCTCTGGAACTGCCTGGGACTCCTGCTGGGTGGACAGGGCCCTCGGGCCGCTGATTCTGTGACTGTCAGAGTATTACTGTGAGCGATGGTGACTGTGAGCAAAGGCTGGAGGTCAACCCGGGGTTCCCACTCAAAGGGGAGGGAGGGTGAGAACTGTTTGACTCAGCAATATTAGAAAGCACTGCGCCTGTCACCCCGCCCCTTCCCCTCTTACAGATGGGGAAGCTGAGGCTGGGAGAGGTCCCGCATCCATGCTCTTAGGTCCCCCCAGCGAGGGCTTAACCTCCCCCTCAGACCTCCTGACTGCAGGTCGTACAGGACTGGCGATTTGGAGGTAGCATCCCTCCTGGGGGCGTCCTCTGGATTCCCCAGGCTTGAACCCCCACAGAGCTAGCTCGCTGGGCCTTTACCTTCCCAACCACCGTGCAGGTCTGTCTCCCACACGGGGCTGTGGACAGCTCTTGCACACCCCATCTCACAGCCCCCCATTCCAACCGGGTTGCCTGGTGCCTGGGCCCAGTGTCTGGATTTGGCCAGACTTAGCAATGAATGGCTCGCTCTGGTTAAGTACATGCCCTTGACCAGAATTGAACCTGGGACCCTTGAGTCCGCAGGCCGACGTTCTCTGTCCATTGAGCCAAACCAGCAAGGGCTATCGAATAGATTTGTTTACACCACTTTGTCTTTTTTTTTTTTTTTAAACCTCATGTAATTTGTTTCATAGCAGCTTTATTGAGATTTAATTCATAGATCATACAGTCCACCCATTTGAACTATTCAGTCCAGTGGCTTTTGGGATATTGAGAGTTGTGCAACCATCTAACTCTAGAACAAATCATCTAATCCTAGGACATTCCATATACTTCTAGAACATTCCCTCCTAATGCTAGAACGTTTTCACCACTCCAAAGGAAACCGGGGAGCCGTTAGCGGTCATTTCTCAGTCCCTCCTTTCCCAGCCCCTGGCGTTCGCACATCTACTTCCTGTCTCTGTGTGTTGGCCTGTGCTGGCCATGCCATGTAGATGGAATCATGCATTGTATAGCCTTTGGGAACTGGTTCATCCACTTAGCATCAGTACCTCCGTTTCTTTTAATATTTCGGGACCATCAGTTAGGGAAGCAGGCCAAGCCTTCCATTACCTCTTACAGCTGAATGATAGATATTCCATTGTGTGGATATCCCAAATTTTCTGTGTCGCGTAGCAGTTGATGGACAGTTGGGTTAATCCCACTTTGGGGCTATTACGAATAATGCTGCTATGAGCGTGCATGTCTAAGCCTCTGTGAGGACATATGTTTTCAGTTCTCCGGGGCATATCCGTGGGAGTGGAATTGCTAGGTCACATAGTCATTCTTTGTCTGACCTTTGGAGGACCCGCCAGGCTGTTTGCCGGGGCAGCTGCGCCCTCATCCATTCCCAGCAGCAGCAGACGAGGGCCCCGATGATCGTGTGTATCGATACATTGGAGTCTTCTCTTAAGCAGCTCCGACCTTTGAAATAACCAGCTTTGATGTGCTGGGTATAAGTTACTCCCTAACATGCATGCAATTAAGCGTCTCATTAGCAGACGAAGGAGCGGCCTGCAGGTAACGAGGACCATCAGGGAAGCAGGTCAAGCCTTAGCCCTAGGTGTGTGTGCATGTGCTTCTCCTGTAACATACGTGCTGAGGGTATTCGGCCAGGCCCTCCGCGGGACAAGGGGACAAGAGGAGGCAGCGAGGAGCCAGGGCCTGGGAGAGCTTGCCAGGAACCTGTGGGCGGGCTGCAGGAAAGGTGTAAACGGCTCGGACCCTCATACCCCAGGCCCTCGGGGGTAGGGTCCCCTTGACAGCTGAGGGTCCGTAGAGGCCAGGGAGACGCTTGCGGTTCCTAGAGGCCTGCCCCGTGGCCTCGAAAGGGAACCTGGGCCCCCCCCCCGTGCCCCACCCTGGCCCCCCATGCTCACTGAGCAGGTGAACTCCCCTGGTGGTCACGTGGGTGGCCTTAGTGAGACACCTGAGACCAGGCCTCTGGCTGCTCTCCGTCTCTTCTGCTTTTTATTCATTTGTGCGTACTTTCCCGTCCTTGTGCCTTTTAGATCCTGAGTTCCTGCGCACAAAGAGGGCAGCCTGGGAAACGGGAACGGGTTGGGGGGGCGAGGTAGGGGGCTGCCCCTCTCTGGACCTCAGTGTGCCCTGCCGGGGAATGGGCGCGGACTGAGCCAGGACGGATGCAGTGGCGCCTCGCGGTCAGTAAGGCCGTCCCAGGGCGTTGTCTGTGTGACTTCATGGATCTATTTGTACGAAGAGTGGCAGGTCACGTGGTTGGCATTGGTGATCTGAAAGCCAGAGTGTGGCCTGGTGGCTGGCATTGGTCCTGTGGCCTCATGGGAGCTTGTCTGGGTAGCCCCATCTTCCGGTCTCCCGCTCCCCACCTCTGCCTTCCGCCTGCAAGGCCCCTGGATCTCTGTGGACACATCCGCCCTGAGGCCATTCCAGAGAAGGTTCTGGAATGCCTGTCTCCCGACATGCCCCTTCTTGGGTATCCTCCACCCAGGGCTGTGGCCTGCAGCTGGGCCAAGCCCCACAAATTGCAGGGCAGGAGCGTAGAGGGTAGTACCCATGCGCCTGGGGAGGAGCCTCATGTTATCCTGTGTGTTCAGATGGCAGCAGCAAGGGAGGGCATCCAACCCTGCCAAGGGAGTTCTTGGATCAGCCAGACTTTTGACCCAGAAGGCAGGCAGGGTGGCAGCAGGCTCGTGGCAGCGCGCTCCAGGGCGTGGGTCTGCATTAGGATCCTGCTGCTCTGCTTAGGGCTGGTGTGCCTGGGGCCATGGCTGCCTGCCGCCTTCCCTACGCCTACGGCAGCTTTCTTATCTGCAGCACTGGCGCCAATGGGACCAGCTCCTGGCTTGTGGCACCGGAGGGCATTCGGGTACGCTCCCACCCTGCCACCAGGCACAGTGTGGACTCCTGAGCGTGCCCATCCCTCGTGAGCCAGCTGTCGAAGGCAGTAATAAAAAATGCACTTTATATATTTTATTCAGCTCTCCCAGCAGCCCTGTGCGATGAACACGCTGAGGCACAGAGAGGTGAAGTATTAATAGTTTGCACCAAGTTACCCAGCGAGGAAGTGAGAGAGATAGGCCTTAAATCCAGAGTCTACGTTCTTAACGACCATCTTACCCCTTGTCAATACTCTTTCTTAATGCTCGGCGCTTAGAAAATACTCGGGAAGTGTCAGTTATCCTAGTCCCATAAAATAAAAGGCCGGTGACCGTAATGTCGTAACGACCAGAACGACTGACCTACCAGTCACTGAGGGGCATCGACCACCTCTCGGTCCCTCCCGCAGCCCACAGGCCCCGATCGCTGGATGGCAAGCAGGGAACCGGGGTGGGCGGCGGGCAGGACTCAGGACTGGGCAGCGGGCAGATGGCCCTGGCCGCAGGCTAGGCCTAGGGACCATACCTGTGCTCG